ATATGTAATTGTGATCTAGCATCCTATAGAAATCTATGCATATAACTCAATAGACAGCATTCTCTTATACTCTAATTAATCGAATAGAGTTGTCTTATCTTATCGTAAATGTCTAATTCTATTCTATTATCAAGCAGAATTAATATTTATTGGCTTGGTAAGTTAAGTTGGAATCATTCATAATCTATACCATTATGACTCTAGTTTGAGAAGGTGAAAAATTCTTAAATTCTATATGATTTATGGAAAGTTAAATTAAGTTTAGTCATCTAACTCTTATTACATATGTATTGATTAAAGGTATCAATAGAATCATAATTTAATCTCTAATTAAGAAAGTTGAGTTATAATTTTAGTAAAATCGCATATCAAATGAAGAAATCAATTTCGCTAAAAATGAGATACTCTACAAATAGAAATTAAGGAGAGCAATCATCTATATAATTTTATCTGCTTTTTGGACTTAAGCAATTAATGAATTCAAATTTAATTTCAATGTTACTCATTAGAAATTTAAAAAAAAAGTTAAACAATATCCATCTTATTACTTGATTGCTTATATTAATGCATAACTCCAAGTGAGAAAATAATAATTCATTCCAATTATTCAACATATTATTTGGAGTTCCAACTATAGATTTAGTTAATTTCTTGCAATTACAATCAAACTATGTGGTTTCATTTCAAGATGTTAAAAAGATTTCAAAAATAAAATATATAAGAGGGCTACGTTTAAGTTTATATTTGGAATAATTTAAAATATACTTTAATTAAATAGAATATAGAGAATAACAGATTATTTAACAACAGTAATCAGACCCTCTTTAAAATGTCTTTATTAGTTTAAACATAAAACCTAAAACTCACAATGAGATTAAATTATATAAAAGTGATTGGATGGACAGATCCTAATCATAACCATTATATGAGAGTTAATGGTGGGAACAATTATACAATGAATAAAAAGTTCATAAGATTGTATCATCATAATACGCAGCATTAATATACTTATTAGTTCAAAGGAAATAAAAATTCTATCTATAATCAATTTGATGAAACTTCAAAATATGCATTAAAACATATTTTGGAAAAGAACTGACTCTTCAGTAAAACAATCTCATTAATGGAGGATCAAATTGGTGATTTTCCCTATTAAGACTTCTGCAGATTTCGAGTGTTATTTGAGTGAAATTTCGCCATCCACAAATGGTTCTACTAGATTAAACCAACATATTCAAAAATAGATTCAATTGTATGGCTACTCTATCAAAGTAATACTACGAAATACAATATTATGGTGGGTAAAATTTCTAGATTTGACTACTCTAGCCTGAAAGATGATATTGAGTAAATCAAAAATAATCAGAATATGAATTTAATTAGATTTATCTTTAAAATATAAATAATCATTTATCATAAATTTTGTTATTCATTTGGTCCTTTACTTACATTGAAATCCTTATAATGAATATATTCTCCTCCAAAATTATCTACGATAATGCAATTAAATCAAAAATTTTAAAACTCATAAAATATATACTTTAATATAATTATAAAATTTCTATTAGATTTATAACAATAGATCTAATAAAAACTCAAAGTGCTTTTTAATTTAATTTAAAATAAAGTAGAATATTTTGAAATATAGATCATATTATAATATTCACATCAAATTTCTGCTATCTAACACTCCCATCAATTCAGTTTTTTCATCCTGATCGAATTTTGAATTATATTTGCTGATATCAATGAAAATCAGTTTAGATTACCCTTTTTATAGCTTCTTTAATATATCATAAAACTCTTCCTTATTAAATTCGCATTTTTTTTCAAAATAATTTTACATATTTCAAGATTTTAAAATAGGAATGACTAAAAATTTATTTAAAGATTTACAAATTGACTTCCAGACATTCCTTCTGCTTTTATTATTATCTGAAAACTTAAAATCTTAGATTTCACTTGCATTTTAAAGAATATCTTGAGAGACTTCAATACTTTGAAACAAAATCATATCTATTTCATTGTAAAAATTTCTGTCTATGTTTAATATATTTTATTAACTCACTTAAGTTCTTCTACTTAATATATTTTCTATAAGAAGAATAGGAAAAAACTTTCAAAGTAATCAAAATAAAATTTAGCTTCAATTATTTCGATTAACTAACCTACATACATATTATTAAATCATTTAATTCAGGTTTCATATGCGTTAACTATTTTGCTTAATCAATTTCTAAATAAACCATAATTTAAGCAAGAACATACCTAAATTATGCTTCCGCTTCTTATTTAATTCACCTTCATATTAGGAAAAATCTAAGTTTATCAAAGTAATTTTAAAAGTACACTCTTTCAAATACTCTTCTTATGCTTTTGACATGATTTAAAACATTTTAATTAGCTTTGGAACGAAAATACAACGTAGATTATAAGAATTATTCTCCTGAATCTGTCCTTAAAATTGTTGCTAATATGAAAAAATCCTTAATAACAATTTTTAATACATCTTTCTATGCAAAACACGTCTACTAAATTAGTTATAGAAAAGAAAGTACCCAAAATGCTGTTACTCTTCTGAAGATAATGCTAATAGAAATATAAAAATTAGAGGAATCTTATTTAAACCTTCTCAATACTAGTTATCTCATTACTGCCTAAAAAAATGGATGTTGTTTGATTTCCACGATATTCCTTGATCTAACTTAAAGTCATTATATATAAATACGGCAATAGTAAATCTTCATTTGAATTTTGAAGCTAAACTTTTAAATTTGATATGTGAATTTCCATTAAATTATCTATAAACTGCTTGATTAAATTCTGTAAAATTTATAAAAAACATAACCAAAAGACGTCGGATGGGGAAC